AGTCTTTTCTAGTTTGGACATTCGACAAAAATGCAACGTATTTACATTTCGTCTTCCCCTCCTAGCGGCTGGCAGTGACATCCCTTCATGACTGATTGCTATCACCATCAGGAGAAGCAGGGAGAAAAAAATCTTTAGACTTAGCAAACATCAGGGTTGGGATGGAGTTTCCCGACTTTTAAGCTCTGTCTCTTCTCATCTTAGAGACAAGGGGCCAGGGGTGCTCAAGAGAATCACCAGTCCCAGGAGCACCACCAGGGAGCACAGAGCCCCAACTAGAATGCTTTTTTTTTTTTTTTAAGATTTTATTTATTTATTTGAGAGAGAGAATGAGAGCACGAGAGGGGGGAGGGTCAGAGGGAGAAGCAGACTCCCTGCTGAGCAGGGAGCCCGATGCGGGACTCGATCCCGGGACTCCAGGATCATGACCTGAGCCGAAGGCAGTCGCCCCACCAACTGAGCCACCCAGGCGCCCCTAGAATGCTCATCTCTTGTCCCTTGAAAAGAGATTTTCCTGCTCCATGGAACTGCTCTCTGCCAGAGCAGGCCAATCCACCAACCGAGACAGAATGGAGGGGGGTTCATGGAGCTCTTGATTGGTCCGTTATTAGTCTTCACAAATTTGTTGCAGTAAGCGTGTCTCAAACGTACATGAGCTCCCACGTTGGGATAAAGTGCATTGAGATTTCAGGTGGATACATTTCTCCCCAGGAAAAAGGTGGCGTATGCCTCCCTCCCTGGCAGAGTTGTGTGTGCAGACAGGGAGCTGGGGACCTGGGGAAGGCCCAGGAGATTGGTCCAGGTTGGGGCTTCAGGTTTGCTCTGAATTACACTGTCATGGTGTCCGTTGCAGGTTGGGACTTTGAGCCGGTACTAATGCATGAATCTGAGAGTCCCGGGTGTCAGAGATGTCACTGTGTGGTGGATGCTGTGGTGTGCGCCCCAGGCCCCCCAGGCCTGAAGCGCTATCCTCTAATCAACAGGGCCACCCCACCCACACCACCATGGCCCGTCTTGCTAAATGTCACTTCCTCAGGCCCCCAACTGCCCTGTAAGATTGCCAGAGCACTCTACCCATGTTTGTCCACATTTCTCAGATACTATGTCAGTGCTTCTTTCCCTTCCTGCTCACCATCACATTCTGCCGGAGAGCTTTTGTTATCGAAGTCACACACTGAGGAGTCATTTATTCAATGAATATTGTGGACCAGGCACTATGTTCAGTGCTGTGGATATGAGAAGACTAGATCCGGCCCACCCGCATTTTTAGATATCATTCTTTTGTTGATGCAGCCCGAGACAATAGCTTTTCTTTAACAACAACAAATTATTTCTTGCTCACATGTGTATCCAGTCACCTATAGGTTCTCCTCCATGTGACCCTCTACCCAGGATATTCTGGCTGATGGAGACTCACTGAACACTGCCAGGTGTTGTGGCTGAGGGGGAAAGCCCCGGACAACATGAACCAGCTCTCAGAGTCTGCCCGGAACTCAGAGTCTGCCCAGAACATGTACGTACAATTTCTTATTTTGTTAATGGAAGTATGTCGGATCCATTCTGTGGTTATTCCCTCAGTTCCTAAGTATATATAGCGGGCATAACTGGCACTTAGCAGGATCCCCACACTGACTTTCTATCCACTAGGTGAGGGCTACTGTGGTTGGGAGGACCATGTGGAAATTCCTAGAACTTCATCTCCCTTACCATGACAGTACACCAGAAGCAAAAGGTGTTCCTGGAGGGATTATTTTATCTTCTTCTTCCTCACCCTCCTCCTTCCTCCTCTCCTCTTTTCTCCTTCCTTCCCCCCCCCCCACTTTTTTAAAATTTTAATTTATTTCAGAGAGAGTACGAGCAGGGGGGAGGAGCAGAAGAAGCAAACTCCCTGCTGAGCAAAGAGCCCCACGCAGGACTCGATCCCAGGACCCTGGGATCCTGACCTGAGCTCAACCCACTGAGCCACCCAGGCTCCCCTCCTGGGGGATTTCAAAGAGTAAGACCTCCATCAAAGAATTAAAAGACACAGCAGTGATACTTACTATCACAGCCCCTTGTAATTCACCTGTCCAGCGTGTGCAGATGTGCGGGAATGACGGCAGACTTTATAAAGCTGACCAGGGGCTGTCTGATCTCAGCTGCTATCACAGACGCAGCGCCGTTACTGGAACAAGTCCCCATGGCTCCGGGCACGAAGTATGCAGCCAGTGACCGGACTAGTGCATTTTTTTCCCATACCAATTTGTAAGGACCCCCAAGGCACTTTGCCTGTACTTGATGGGGCCCACAGTATACCTTCCCGGAATAGACCCGGGGCTACATTAATTCTGCTTTCTGCTATAATAAGCCTATATACATACTAACTACTTTGATATTCCATCATTCATCACTCTGGTCCACTATATTGATAGCATTTTGCTGACTCGATCTGATAAGCAGGTGGCAGTAAATTCTACAGAGGCTTTAATAAGACAAGTGAACCAAAGCATGAGAAATAAAGTCCCCGAAACTCAGGCCCCCAGCTCAATGAAGTTTCTGGGGGCTCAGGGATCTGAAGCTTGTCAAGATATCCTCTTCAAGGTGAAGGACAAATGCTGCAAGTCACACCACCTACTATGTAAAAAGAGGCACAATACCTGAGAGGTCTTGTTGGGTTTGGGAGGTAGCATACACCACATCGGAGTGTGTTAATTCGACCCATCTCCAGAGGCACCATACGGCTCCTGGTTGCAAGGAGGACCTAAGCTCGGGCTGTCACACACGCTGCACTACCACTCAAATCCTATGATCCAAAGTGTCCCTGGCAAACAAGGATGTTTAGCAGAGACTCTAGCAAGGGCCAATAGGAGACACACAGCACAGACCTCCAGGATTTCAGAGCAACTCCAATCTATGTCCTCCTCCACAGATGTGTATTCTCCTTTCTAGACACAGCTCCTACTTGTTGCTTGGACTTAGCAGATTGAACATGTATCACAGGATGAGCTGACCATGCAGCCTGAGCGTCCCACAACAAAGTGAGTGGTCTGACCCGCTTGGCCTTAAGGTTGGGCGTGTGCAGCCGCTGTAGATCATTTAGGGGCAATGGCATGTGGAAGAGCGAGTGCACGCACGTGCAGAAGGTAAACTGCGTGAACAGGTGGTTCTTTCAACGGACACCTGCTGTACGGCATCAAGTGTTTTTTGTGACCAGGTGACTGAGGACACCTACATACAGTGACGGAGGGAAAGCGTGAGTGGAACTTTGAGCTGTACCTCTGGTTAGCCACTTGTCTGGAATGAGGTAGGGCCGAAAGTACTGATCTACGTTGATCTGTGGTGAGTTGCCAACAGTTTGGTTGGATGGTCGAACATCTGGAACAGGATTCAAGGATTAGTGACAAGGTCTGGCTGGGGACAGACCTCTCAAAATGGGCACCAACTATGAAGATATCTGTATCCATGGGTGCCCGCCAGAGAATCCCTACGGGGATGCTCTTAATGATCAGGGAGACAAAATGGCATGCCTTGTATTTGTAGTCAGCTTCCTTTCCCAGCCACCATGCTTGCTTGGTGGACCCATGAACCAAAGGGCCATCAAGACAGGGGTGGGGGCTAGAATAGGCTCAACTCTTAGACCTGCCCTGGCCAAGGCTCACCAAGCTAACTATCACTGAGTGCCTAACCAGCTAACAGACACTAACACCGAGTCCCTAGGATGGCATTTCCTAAGAGGACCAGCTAGCCACCTGGTGGCAGGTGGACTACACTGGGCCTCTTGCATCATGGAGAGGGCAGAGATTGGTCTTCACTCAATAAACTCATATTCCAGTGATGGACACACCCACCATGCCTGTCAGCACCACCATCCACGGTCACATTCCGCAAATAGCTGTTGATCACAGAACCCAAATCACAGCAAAGGACATTCACGAGCAATGGGCTTGTGTCCATGGCAGTTAACTGTTCTTACTACATCACCCCCCACCAGGAAGCAGCTGGGCATCCTGAGGACTCCGCTATGGGGAAGGAATGGGGTTCTGTCTTCCAGGATGACTTTTATGCCGTTAGCCAGAGGCCGTTACCTGGTGCTGACCGCCCTCCCCCCCCCCAGCCAGAATACACGGGTCTGAGGATCGAGGCGTGGGAGTGGGGGCTGGCACGCCCCAGTATGACACTTAACAACCCAACCACAGAATCTTTTTATTCCAGGCCTGGAAAACTAGGGCTTCGTTGGTTTGATGGTCTTGGACTCTAAGGGTGGGGGGTAAGCTCCCCCTGAGGGACACAACACTGATTCTGGGTAATCTGAAGAGAATGCTACTCAGCGGGGACAGAGGACTAATCCTGGGATCCAGAGGGATTCTCTGGTGTCTCTCAGTGTTTCCATGTAAGGGAAGTAAAGGACCTTGCAACAAAGGTTTCTAAAAAAGGACACTTCGGCAATGAAGCTTTGGGTCCAGCAGGTAAAAACCAGTTAAGGGAGGGTCTGAGGACAAGGGAAGTGTGGAGGGAGGTGGGGAGGATGTCACAAATGTCAACTACAGTCCTGTGACCAATTGCGGGATCAAGGGCAGTACTAACTGTGCACATTTTCTGATTCATATATGCTCACTGCTCACTTGAAGAGCTTACTACACATGCGTGTTGTTACACCACACCCCTGGTCTCGTCACCAAATGCTGGCAAGGATTCCTACACTGCAGATGACTGATGGTGACCAACTCTGAGAGGGCATGGTTGTGCTGAATCCTGGATGTGTCACCCTGCTGCTCACAAGAGGAGGGAAAGAGGGTCCGAGAAGCAGTGAGCTCACCAGGGAAAGTGAGCAAATGCGGGGTGCGCGGACTTCCCGACACCCAGAGCCATCAGTGGACTGGCCCAAACACATCCGAGCTCTGGCCGCTGGGCCCGGTGGGGCTGCTGTGGCGCCGAGCCTTACCCTGACAGTCCTGTGGCGCCACCGCTCCTCCGCAGCGCCCTCTGGCTGCTGTCAGTAGTAAGGGGAGAGCCGGCCAGTGTTCCGAAGAAAATGTAGCTTTATTATGACATACGAAACACTACAAGCCATTAAGGGAGAAGAGTCAACAGTTCCTCAGAATGACAGGTAAGAGAGAAGTGTAAACATCTTGGCAATAAAATCCACAGCACGATCATTGGAATCTTTTTCTTACAATTTTTGTTTTCAAGGTTATAGTCAACGAAACAGTCACTTGAATTGTCAAAAGAAGGGCCATTTGACCCAGGGAAAGCATACACACCAAGCCAAAGGACAAGAGCACGGGGCTATGTGTTGTGGGGTCGGGGGCGTTGCCGCAGGAAGGAAGCCTCAGACGATCCTGCGCCCTGGAGGGGAGGTCCGGCTGCTCGGGCTGCCCGCCGGGCCCCCCGCTCTCCCAGCCGGACGCTGCTCGGAGCTCACTGCCCACCTCTGAAGACAGAAAGCCCGGTTTCCCTGTGATGCGCTCAAAGGACAGCCAACATCTCAGATACACACGTTACTTTAAAACCACTGGTGGGAGTGTGGAGGCTGGTGGGGGTCACTTGATGATCCCATTAGTGTCAGACGCACTTGGTAATGACCTGAACACCTATACACGGGTTGTTAGGAGGAAACAAGAAAGCCATGTTCCTGAATTTAACAGCTGGCCTGGGAGCGAAAAGAAACATTCCCAGGCCCCGGATGGAGTACTCTGTGGGTAACAGGGTGAATCCCAGCGACCATGTCAGCGGCAGGATGTCCTGCTGTGGCAACATTGCCCACGGTGCTTGTGGTCACAGGAGCTTCCCAGTGGCACAGACACAGGTGACGACTTGCAACGCCAGTGCCAACAGGGAATACCGACAATTATTTTGGATACAAAAAGTTAAAAGTCGTGTCTACAAAAGAGAAACGTGGCCTGTCTGTCCCCAGACCTCATGCTCTTGGGAACAGGTGAGCTCTCCTGAACATGAGCAGACACACATGTGGGAAGCAAGACAGGCCAGACCACAGGGAACCTGCCAGAAAACCCGGGATGATCCAGTAAAGCCAGGTCACAAGGCAGCAAAGCTCACGGCTCAGAACTCTGCAGGCCTGCTTCAGGCAGCTCCTCGTTTGATTTGCTCCTTATTAAAAGGCAATGGTTCTCCCAAAAAGAAATCTTCACAACACGGTCTCACTCACTCACACACACACACACCCCTCAGGCATGGGGGACCATTTCTGAAAATTTGCACCCACCGGTATTTCTGATGACTCCTGCGTATTCCCAAAATGCAGAAATACACTGAGCCTGAACTGAGCAAGTGCTTTAAAAGCTGCATCACTAAGGACTTTGTCGAGTATGATGCTGCTGCAGCATACTCTTGTTGTTTCGTGTATTCTATCATGTTCCACACTGAGTAGTAACTACTCAACTTCTGCTGTTCCTACCCACTTCCAGATCTGGCCCACTGGCTGTGTTTACATGGCCTACCAGCTCAGAATAGTTTGCACATTTTTAAGTAGAGAAAAAAAAATTCCATGACATTTCAGCATCCGTAAGATGCTTTACTGGAACACAGCCATGCTCATCTGTTTCTGTATTAGCTACGGCAGACACCACGTGGCCCATGAAGCCTCAAATATTTACTACCTGGCTCTTCAGAAAAACAAAACAAAAAAAGAAAAAAAAGAGAGAAAAGAAAGGAAAGGAAAGGGAAGGAAACAAGAAAGAGTGCTGAACCTCAAACAGAGGGTTCTCTTCTGTGGGAACGAACATTCCACAGCTCCGATGCAGACCGGGCTCCCAGGACAAATGCTGCCTGTTTCGGGAACGACATTCAAGCAGCTTTTCCTCCCCCACAGAAACGGACAATTGAAGTTTGGGTTTGAACAGACAGATGCATGCAGGATATCTTACAAGGAACAAGGCGAACTGTTCCATCTCCTCGCGCGGCTGCTCCCTCTTCCCAGCAGCTCCCGCGCAGAGCCACCTGCCCCTGCTCCGCGTGAAACTACACCCGGCGGAGTGCGGAGGCAGCAGCGACCAAAGGCAGGCTCCCGTGGAAGCCGCTCCAGCATCCACCCGACCCACGAGCCGCCACGCAGCCACAGGGACAGCGAGCGGGCCGGGTGGCCAGGAAGCAAACAGGAGGAAGGGAACAATGAAGCCACTGAAACACTTCATTTACTCGAAAGGTTAATAGGACACAGACACTTATTAGCCTCGGCCTGACTCGTCTGCCGCCCCCGCCAGCCTTCACCAGGACCCGGACGCTTCGGAAGGGAAGGGGGGGGGGGGCAAGCAACAAAACCAGCACCAATGAAAAAGCAAGATTCACTCTCCAGTATAAAGGAAAACGATCTAAATGTATAAATCCAATAATTCGTTCACATTACTACCATTACGTTTATGAAAGTCACCATTGTGGAAAAAGAGAAAAGGGGAGAGGGCTAAGAAAGTGCCTATTTCCAAAAAAAAAAAAAAAAAAAAAAAAAAAAAAGGCAAGAGAGAACACCGGGCTGACGCTTCCCCATGCAGCTGGATGCTAAGTGATCTGCGCAGCAGACGTGCTTGGGAGCCCCCATTAGTGTCCTCGGTCCCGCGGGCTGGGCGGAGGGGGTCCTTCTATCTGCTGACGAGACGAGGCTAAGAGTCCCAGCTAGCTATCTGATACTAAACCCACAGCGACGCAGGTACTTGCGAAGTCCTCTGTCCTCACACGTCTCTGGCTCCTGTACTTCTCTGCTTTAACGGACCCACGACGGGAAACCAGGCTGGCGCCTTGCTAAACCGAAGCCACAGGACAGACTCCTCCCCACCCCCCCACCCCCACCCCCTGCACGTGGTCTTGAGGAGCACAGGAGACGCCCAGGGACACGTCCCCGGTGCCCCTCCCCATGCAGGGCCCAGCCCCCACGCCGCTGTGTCCGTCGCGCGGGTCTGGGAGCCTCGTTCGGAGCCCAGCGCCTGTCCACGCAGACACCGCGACCCGGGGCACCCGCCATGCCCGCGCCGCTGGGCCCAGGCTGCACAGGAATCCGATGCTCTCGGGGGCACTTCTGTTTGGGTGGTGGCTTCATGAAGTTGGGGAGGACGGGGATCGTTTTGTGAGGCTGGCCAACGCATCGCCCCCATTTCTGTGGACCAGCTGCAGGTAAGGCTACTCATATTCCAGGAACTGTTTGTGGTAGAACAGCAGGTACCTGGGGAGGCAGACAGGAAGCAGGCATACATTCTAATTCACCGAAGTTCACGCAACCCCAAGCTTCTGACACCGGGAACACCCATGTGGTGGTCTCGGCACCCACTGGCAGCCCAACGGCTTGCTTGCTAGGTGCTGGTTCTTAGTCCCCAAGGACAAGGTGCCTTGGCTGGGCAGCAGGGTGCCCAGAGCGAATGCCCGGCCCCCCACCTGTCCACCAGGATATCATGGGAGCCCGTCAGTCCCACCCCCGACACGGCTCCGGGAGCTTCTCAGTCGGCCACTGCAGCTGCCCTCAGGCGGCGGCTACTCTGGGGGAGACTCTTGCAACGGCTTCTGGTCCAAATCCGCCCCTTCCGGCGGCCTCCTCTGGCCTCCTCATTACCCACAAAACTGTCCTGTCTCACACCAATTCTTCTACACACACTCTCTCAAGGGGCGCCCCACCGCTTGGAATAAATACAAAGTGCAGACGCCTCAGGAGCGCTCCGGTCGGCTCATCCCGGCCCACCCTGGAGCGGGGGATTCTACGGCCAGTCTCAAGACGAAGAAGGACTTAACAAGGCAAAAGGTGGATGACAGTGGGCCAGGGAGGAATGAAGCGGGTCAAGAAGGAAGGAGCTCCCCAAGCCCCGCTGTGGCCGCTCACGCAGTGGGGGACAGAAACAACCACCCTCACGCTCTGGGCATGAAGGTGCTCATCGAGAGTGACCCCGCCCATCCGGCTGCCCACCCAGGCTGGCATCCTGTCCAGAACATGCCTCACTACATCAGACACTCAAGGTGAACATCCGGCCGGACGTACCCCTCACTGTCCAGCACGTCCTCAATGCTGGCCTTGGTGATGATGGCATCGTCACACTTGAACCACTGGTCCTTGTGCTGCCGGATGAAGCTGGTGTAGTGGCCACTCTCCAGGGTCCCTTGGTGGTTAACTACGGCAAACAAGGAGTACCTAGTTTGGGAGCGCGGGAGTGGGGAAAGAAGGGGCAGTCAAGTTAGTTTTATCACCATCAGAAGCCTGCAAAGTGCGTAGCCCCCAGACACCCCAAGAACGAAAGCGGGAGCCTGGCAGGCAGGCAGGCGGGCAGGCAGGCCGGCCTAGCCCACTCAGCTCTCGAGCTGCTTTGCGGGAGCCCCATTTAGTGGAAGTGGGGACAGCCAGCCGCGCTGGGGATGCTGTAAGCACGCCGTCCTCTGTTCTTTCTCCCACAGCGACGGCAGCAGGTGGTGAAGGAAAGAACAGAGGCCTTACTACAGCGCGGGTGGATGCAGAGGCCAAGGGGCCCCGAATCCAGACACTGAGCCCTGGCACTAGCACGGCCGTGACCAGCGCACAGGAGCTGGGACAGAGGGGCGCGGGCTCCTCCACTGGGGAGCTTTACGGTGCACGTGTGAAAAGCCCTCTCCCAACAGCCTGCAGCATTTCCAACAAGGGTGGAGGAGCAGCAAGACAGGAGGCAGGCCAGCGGCCAGAGGAAGAGCCGTGCTGTCGCGGGGCCCTCCCCACGTGGCCCACCGGTGCTCCCACGCTCCCCGCTCACGCTGCAGACGCCCGGCGCCAAGCCACGAGGCACCACTTACTTATTGTCATTGTTGAGGCTGTCCGTTGGCTGCTGGTACTGTCCGTTCATCCTGCTCTCTTTGCTGCAACCAACAACAGCACTTCCTCAGCATCATTTACAATAATCACCCAAGCAGATGCGTGGCTCGAATGACAGCAACCACTACCCCCTGGGGACGCGGCACTTGGTGCATTTTAGACACACTTTCTAATTTTTCTAGCCACTCTGCTTTCTAGGGGAAGACCATCCCCGAGTCAAGGTGGGGAAGCAGAGGCCGGGGCTGGAGAAACAAGCTGCGCAGAGCCACGAGGCGCAGATGGACCGGACTCCACCTCGCTGCTTCCAGCCAAGCTTGTGGCGCCGTGTTACGGGGGCCAAGGAGATTAACGCATGTCTGACGTATGAGCGAGTGTCACGGTGATCCGGAGGGTGCATTTTAAGTGGTCTGAGATATCAAGATGTGAATCTACAACTGCAACACCAACTGTGCTCAGCTGTACCCGAAGGCAGTTCCATCCGCCGCAGCGCTGCCTCCTGTGATCGCACCGTGACCGCTCACCACGTCTGGGAGCTGAGAAAGGACCGCTAGGGAAGAGCCGAAGCTGCGGCAGCCCAGCTGAGGAAACTCAACTGTGTCCTGGGTGAAGACCAGGATGATGATTCTGTTTTGGCAGATGTACTTCTAGCAACCTCTACACCGGCTCATCAGGGAACCAGAGCCGATCACGGACCCGACGGAGCCACAGCCCTCCCGGTCACTCATACAGCGTCCCAAACCCTTTCATACCTGGACGCCATGAAGGGCGTCATGTCCAGTTCCAGGGGAAAGGACACGTACGTGGTGATCTTCCGCCTCAGTTTGGCCGAGTGTTCAAATCGCTGCAGAAATTGGGGAGAGAAGAGGATGAAGCTGTAGGGCTTTCTTCCACTCGACACCCCCAAAAGGGGGCTTTTCTCTAGAGCTTACAGACTCAATAACACAATGTTAATCCATGCAAATCTAATTCATGGGGTTCAAAAATGGAGGTTTGAAATGATGCCACTGTTCAAAGTGATCGAGGCCAAGTGTGCAAAAAAGTAATCTTATAACAAACCCAGCAAAGTGCAAGGTGGAAGGAAACAGAACAAACATCCATAAGCTCCAGGAGCAAAAATGGACGTACTGTTCCTTTTACCACAGACATTCCTTCGACTACACTGGGACCACCAAATCCAGCCAGCAAGCCAGGAATGGTGTGGGTTTTCTGATGAAAGGGTCATAAAATAAAACGAAGACCATAAAACAAAGATTCTATGTGGCCATGACGCCTAAAATATTTACCATCTGGCCCTTTATAGAGAAAGCTGACCGACCCCCTGGACTAGATCATAAGGCTCGGGTCTTGTTTGCTTTTAAGTAAAAGAAAACCAGAGAACTCTGGTGTTGGGGGGAGCGTGGGGAACCTCGGGGGAAGGAGGAGGAAATTCTTAAACCCCCCCCCAGAAGAGTAACTCACATCCTACTGTCATTATGAAGTCATCACTCTGGTTCACCACAAACCTCTCTGGGCAACAGAAGACAAGGGAGAGTCACAAGCTACTACTGAGTCACTGCTGTTACAAAATGTACTTCTGGACGCCAAACCGACAGGCTCTAAGTCGTACCAGGGATTAAAAATGCAGTCTGCCGCTGGAGCGTGCTTCCTAGAAAACTTACTTTGAGATGAAAACAGGCTACAATGGGCAGCTTCTTCATGGTGAGCTGCTTCGTGGACTCCTGGTAGCTATGGCAGCCACTGCACTTGATCTTGGCACTGCTTCCTAAGTGCTCCGGTCGGGTAAATCTTCCAGACATTTCAACAATACAGTTTTAGTAAAAAAAAAAAAAAAAAAAAGATGGCAGAAGTAAGAAAGGAAAAACAATAATTATCACTTTCAGTGGGTTAATTTCCCTACTGAAAACATGCATACAGTTAGGGGTGTTTATAATTTCACAATGGGGAAAAAAATTTCTTCCTTCACCTCTTCCCCTTATCACTTTAAAAGTGATTTTGTTTTTATTTATTTTTTTAAATTAAAAGTCTGGTGAAATAGTAATGATTTTCTAATGACCATAAGACTCAGCAATTCAAATTTCAGAAAAACAACAACTCATGATCATGCAAACGACTATACATAACTGTTTTTTAGCAGCTGTGTTTGTTAACAGTCAAAACACCTGGCAGCAATCAGTGCTGTTCAATGTGCAGATGGTTAAAGAAAATGCTACATGGCCCCGTGGAATACTCATCGGCAACAAACAGGGACAAACTATGGACACACACAACCTGGATGAATCTCCGGAGACTTGTGGTGGGGAGCCTGGGGGAGGAGATCCAAAAGGTTCCATGTTCTATGATTCCATTTACGTAACATTCTCGGAACGCTGAATTTGTAGCTGCCAGGGGTTACGAGGCAGTGGTCGGGGGAGGGACATGGAAGGCTGGAAATGCCCTGCATCCTGACTGCATCGATGTGAATATCCTGATCATTACATTGTACTGTAATTTAACAAGATGTTACCACTGGGGAAACTCAGTAGAGGATACCCAGTCATTATAAATGCATGTGAATCTGTATCCCAAAATAAAAGTTAAATTTTAAAAACAGGGGAATGATCATTCTCAAATGATGAAGACAGACCTCAGACGTAGCAAGGCTGCACTAAGTCCGAAAGCATTTCTGGCACAGGTGGCGGCTACCCATAAAACAGAGGTTTCAATATGGTTTATGCCAAATTTTTTAAGTTTAAAGCTGAAAAGCAAACGAAGTTCATCTTTTCACGAGGAAATCTTTGTTAATCCTTTGGAAATTCCGTGATCTCACCGGGGCAAGACGATGCCTCCTCCTGACCACAGCTGACCCCGCCTGCCCCAGGAGGTGCCCCTGAAGTGGGAAGCCGAGGGAAGCCAAGGAGAGCAGTTAGATCTCATGTGGAAGAACATGGTACAAGGCATCTGAGCGTGTTTGCCCCAACCTGCAAGGACTAGCCCACAAATGTAATTGGCAAAGTCCACAGTGTGGGTAATTCTGTGAAGAACGATCTTGTCTTTTCCACGTAGAAACGGCAAGGAAACCAAAAGGAGGGGGCTGAAGCCTATGGATTTGCAACCAAATGTAATGTGCACACCTAGTCTGGATCCTGAGTTGAACAAACTGTACGGAATAGTTTCTTATAAAATCAATCAGGGCAGTTTAAACACTCGGTACCTGACTGGAAGAGAAGAACGTGCCCATGTTTATAGTGAAGACTCCGGAAATACATGACTTGCCACACACTACCCCATAACCCAATTTTCCAACTCAAACCCATTTGGCCCCAGCCCAAACAAACTGCTCAGGACCGCACCAGGGGCCACAACCGCTTCCCTGACGTCTAGACCAGCTCCTTCAGTCAGGACTAGAGACAGAAGGGACAAGTACTCAGAACGCGTGTCACTACCAGGTAGATCGAGCATGGTGCACTGAGGAAAAACACGGACTTTTACAACTGGAAGCCCAATGCCAGCCCACAGCAGAAATTAGGCAGAGGACTCTGCCCGTGCAGCAAGCATTCAGAAAGCAGGTGTCTGATGGTGCCCAAGGCAACAAACCTACCAAGCCAGGCTGCAAACACTTCCTTCCCCAGTGAAGGAAGCGCCTGAGGCTCATGCTGCAGGAAGTCTCGAATGTGACAGGGTCGAGCTTCCTAAGATGCAGCCTTGTGTGGCTTGTCAACTCAAGAGTGGGGGGTGTGAACGCTGCTCTTACCCTCAAATTTGGAAACACAAGTGTCAGCCAGTTTTAACCACTTTGCTAACTATTATCAATTAAGCAACTGATCAATAAGCACACTGCTTCTCCTGAGGATGCACATTTTAAAAACATGTACGCCAGTGCAGTATCAAATGCTGAGTCCAAAGTCATCTTTCGAGGTTTTCTCATTTTTTATTCTTCGGGAAGTTCGATGTTTTGTCATTCTTCTTTCCGTGTGCGGTGCCCCCTAAGTGGAAATGCACTTAACTCAAATCTTCCTCCTCTCTGCCAAACGACACTAACATTCAGACACCAAATATGTCAACCAAACCTTCTTCGACACTAAGAAAATGTCCCACAACGTCAGATACGGAGAGGATTTGGCTTTGAATTCCATAACTGTGAGTGAAGAATGGAAGGACAACAGAGCTCAACTCCCAGATCTTCTCAACTCCCTATCCACGCCACCCCTCCACCCATGTCCGGGGAATTGCCAAACCTGGGTGGGAGGCAGGGCCCATCTTTCTTCATGGAAGTTTACCACAAAGGCCAGGTATTTGCTTTTCCCACCCACCAGCATTCTGGGCACCCGACCTAGGCTCGACCAGTCGGATACTCGTAATGAGGACTCTGCGGCTGGAAAAGTCATTCCCAAGAAGCATCTGGAGGAAGAACTGGTCTTGCCAGGAGCAGCAGCTCCACGGCACCGGAGAGCCACAGGCCAGCAGCGGGCTGCATGTTTCTGGATACTGGTCCCCAAGCCTCGCATGGTGACCACGTGTTTGCTGAGCCAGGTCCTCTTCAGCCTTCCTGTGGATGCGATCAACTACCCAGTCTCTACCCGCCTAAGCCCAGCAGAGCCCATTTCTGCCGCCTGCAAGCCTGCAAGCACGCCGACCTGCTAAGTGCAGGTGCGCCCTCCCACATGCCTGGCAGAAGACCATCACCACTTGAGGTGCGACACGGGTACAGGAAAGTAGTACGAGGCAGTCTTCTCCCCGAAAGGCTCAAGGAGTACAGGGTGAGCATTCCCCCAGGCAGCTCCCGAGGGGTGATGGCCACCTCTCTGCCCCCGCACCGCTTACCCTCATGACACACTTGAGAACTCAGGAGGGTCTGGAGCTATGGAATTCCATCTACCTCAGCTTCCTCCTGCCGGCTTCGCAATCTGCTCTCAACCTAACTCGGAAAGGGCCCCTTTGCTGTTAACACAAACTCGAGACGAACGTGCTCGCCTTTCCTTGGCCACTCGGCTACGCACCCAGCCCCCCGTGGCCCCTGACCAGACAGCTCGGTGGGCATCTCAGTGTGGAAAGTGTCGCTGCCCCCTCCGTGCCCACTTGGTGGGCAAAGCTTCAGGTTTGCTGAAACATACAACTAAGTGCAACGGATTTGTAAACACTGCCTTCAAAAATGGTGGCCTTTTCAGTTCCGATGTTCTTCTTGGTTTCCAAAGTACAAGTTTGATGCCCCATTTACATCTGGACCTACCAGTGTGACGGAGTTGACGCGTTTAAAAATTCTTAACATGCACCTCTGAGCCTGCTGACTACACAGCAAGATAAAAACCAAGCAGCCTGCCCCTCTTCGTAAGGAACACCTCTGCCCAAGGACGCACCTGCGGTGACCTTTAAAGTGAGTAAAAGAAAATAAAGGCTGTAAAACACTCAAGTCCAATAGAATGGTTTAGAAAGGGTCTCTAGTGTCTCTGCTATTGCATGTGAGCTACCCGAGCACGCTGATGGCAACCGGCCCTAAACCCTAGCACTCATCCCAGGTGGAGATGCGGAACACGGACGCGTGCACCACCACAAACGGGCCCATCGCTGGCAGGAAGGGCCCCGCCAGACGCTGGGGCAGCTTCTCAGCCCCGGACGGTGACGGAGCTTCAACCTCAGCTCTCTGGCTCTTGGGCACCTTACCCAGCGGGCGGTGGGGGGCCCACGCCGAGCTGGGTGAACAGAACAGTCCTCTTGCCAACACGTGACAGACTCTACGAGCCACTGGGCACCAGCTGCAGCCACCCGCAGGCTGTCCTGCCTTGTCTCATTTTCTATACCAGACACGTGAGAGAAAATTCTCCTGGGGCCCCGGGTGGCCCTGAATTTCTTCGGACTTTCCTCTGACCGACCACTACCTCGAAGAGCCTCGGGCAGGAGAGAAAAGCCCCTGCTTTGTCTCCAGAAGTGCCGGTGGCTTCCTTACCTCCGCAAGCAGTCCGTGAGCGTAGTGGTTCCTGCTACGTGGCTTTCCCCGTTCACCACGCTGCCCTCACTCCCGGGGCTCAGGGGCCAGAACGGGGTGGAGGAGCCAGGCAGGTCTAAACTGATGTCCCAGAAGGGGTCTATGGTGGTAGAGACTCCGCTAGAAGCGAGAGGAGAGACACATGCAGGTTAGAATGGACGGCCACACAGCCTCCGAGGCGCACCTGGCCCACGACATCCACATCGCCTCACAGCTCTGCCCTTCCGTCCAGATGATATAGAAGGTTACAAAATGAGGGGCTGCTCCCACCCAACACGTCCTGGGCCCCCGAGGGGGCCCTGTGGAGGAAGAGCAGGTAAACCACTTCCGGCAGAGGCCACTCCGAAAGCTACAGTTTCAGAACCCAGAAAATCATTACGATCATTTGAGCTTTTTTTGAAAACAGAGACAGACCCCTGGGCCCCACGTCCGGAAGTTTTGAATTGATGGATCTAGCTCAGCAGCATCTGAGCAACTGGTAACCGTGAGTCCAGGGAGCGATTTAGAGCTCCACGCACACTGCCCGTGGAGAGAACACACCGAGCCAGCGCCGTGCCATGGGATGCTCTACCTAACAGGGCCGGTTCCCTCGCAGACACGGACCGTGAAGGACAGGCTGGGAACTTCACTCCAGATACTCAAACAGGACATAAACCCGAGACAACCTCCTGCTACCGGAATTCAGCAGCCCAGAGCCGACAAGGAGGGCCTCTAAACACTGGAGCAATGCCCGTGACGGTGTCTACGTCACAGAAAACTGGGTGTGTGACCCAGGCAGAACCGCTCCCCTCCCGATATCTCCTCTGTCCTCTACCAACTGCACGTGGGAATCCAGCAGAGGTTCTGAAATAACTTGAGTGGATCGTGACCAGGATTTTTTAAAACCCTGAAACTGAAAAACACAGAGGAGTGTGCACGGAGGTCGAAAGGGAGGGTTCTTGCAACCTCACTGACCCATGCATCCTCCTCCTGGAAATCAAAGCTCTGCACGCTGAGCAAAGCTGTGAACAATCAGGGACACCAGTCTGGAGAACATGGGAAAGGAAACCGGGACATGAAAAGCAACACATTTTGGAGCACGGGTGCCAAGGATCTGCCAGGTGTGCACCAGTCCCTCCGGAAGGCAGGGCTCTTATTTAGCTCCTGGGAGAACAAGATATGGCGGGGAGAAGCTTCAGGGCACACCCTCCCAGGTGTGCACGGGAACAAAGATGGCCCTGGGGACCTGCTCCAGACGACCTGCAGCACTCGGGGCGACCTGCTCCTCTGTGGGCCTCCTGTACTGGAGCTGATTTATCTCAACACATTTGATGGCTTGGCTGTTTAACCTCAGCTCGTCCTGCTCCACGTTCGGTTGCTGCAAAGGCTCCTCTTGTAAGAGCCACACCACCTACTCATCCACACATCACCGAAGAGCCAGAGCCGTGGGGGCATGGACTAAACTTCTGGCTCTAAGTGTTAAACTTCTAAAACCTGCTCAAAACACAGCAGTTTTGTGGGCTGAACATGTCCCATGATGTTCCAAAAGCAGCACCTAGAACCAAGTCGGTCTCATGGGCAGGACCTGGGGTCCCACATCACGGTCTGCTCAGCACAGCCCAGGCGGCCTCTCGTGTTCCAGAACACCGGGTGTTGTGCGGGAAGCCTCGCACACTTACTGGCAGACTTGGCAGGTGACGTCCGACTGCAGCCCGCCCGTGAAGATCTGGTCTATGATGCAGTTGCAGTGGTTGGGGTTGTTGGCCTTCTTCCCGTTATCGTCACCTGGGGAAAGATCACAGCTGTGTGATTTGCATCTGGGCCCCTGAGTCCACAAGCTTCCTAAGAGCCACCGGCCCAAGGTGCGAGGCCATTCACCTGCAGAGGCTGATGAAGCCAAAGTGCCGATATTTTCACAAGGGCACAGGAGGACCCTTATTCGAACCAGGAGACTTGGAGGAAAAAGAGGAAACAACCCAGCTAGCTTATTTTCAATTTGCTTCTTTTTCTCCATTCCCTAAAATCCGCTTGGCTTCTATCTAGATGCCATGATGTAGCTAACTCCCAGTCACTGGGGAGAGTCACAGATTCCCCTTTCCCCCCACAGAACAACTGAGCGGCCCTGCCATGGTGGGGCGCCCCACGCTGCCAGGGAATGCCTGCTCCCCCGCTGCGCAGCACGGACACGGCGCCCCGACTTCAGAAAACATCTCTGCAGGACTCCCGTCGGTCTGTTTTCCCCATCAGCTCCCGCACCCTGCAACTTCACAAACAGCTCTGCTTTCTAAGCATTTGCACCTAGATAAGTACCACTCCTATCCGCTCTAGTTCAACACGGGTTTTATTTATACATTCGGGGGCAGATATACGAATACAAAGCTTACATGCTGGAACACAATATATGTCGTAAATACATACTATAGAACTTTCATTCAACCAGAGAGGATAGACTGTGTTTATCTGTATATATGTTTCTTCTCAAACAAGTGAAATTACTACCTAGGAATAAAGGATGCCCACTAGGTCTTTTGACAGCAAATTGCCTAGAGAGATTAGAGAGAAAATGCTACCCAGAAAGATTTCAAGTTCATGGGACAAAATGTCAGGATACAGGAAAATACATATAGGAAACCACAAAGGAAAATAAGCCAAAAGATACCCGATGCTCGCAACCACATAAAAACACAACCCAGCCAAGTGAACTAGCGCGGCTGAAGGAGAAATTGGAACACCTGCTTTTTTTTTTTTTTTTTAAGATTTTCTTTATTTGTCAGAAAAAGAGAGAGAGGGAACACAAGCAGGGGGAGTGGGAGAGGGAGAAGCAGGCTCCCCGATGCGGGACTTGATCCCAGGACCTTGGGATCATGACCTGAGCCGAAGGCAGACACTTAACCGACTGAGCCACCCAGGCACCCTGGAACACACTGCCTCTGATGAGACATTTCTTGTGATGTGTGAAACAGAATTATGTCAGAGAAGTGGATCATGATCATTGCATCATGTTTCTGTCAGATGAATGTTTTCCCAGCAATGCATTTGAAGCGGCTGATTTTTAGGACTAATGCTGGTTACAGAAGCCTCATGATTATCCTCAAGTGCTCGGAATGATAATTTAATGGTCTTACACAGCGGCTCTTTTCGGTTTGTATGTTATACTTCATACTAGGAAACCAAACCCCACCTAAGCTATTCAGCACTATTTATTTGGCTCCTCGGGTGAGCACTGAAAGGATGTATAGGTTTTTCAGGAGAAAAGCACTTAAGTACACAAAATAGCCAGAACCCAAAGCCCTGACAGCTGATGAGAACAAGCACCGTATTCGGAGTTTGGCTGGCCTCGAACTTGTGCTGTCAGACCTCACAGGGCATTTGGGAGAGCAGCCCCGTGACTGTAGCCCCGTGACTCCCTAAGCAGGAGGCCTGGGGAACAGAACTGTGGTCTAACAGAATCACCTACAACCCACCGGTCCAGCCCAGAGGCCACAGGTAAGCAGGTAACTTCGTCACCCCAACCCACGTCAGCTATACCTGGGTGCGCTCCCTGAACTGGCATCACCGGGGACCCAGGAGGAAACGGCTGACCTCACTCCACACCCACTGAACAGAAGCAGCAAGGAGCCCTCCAGGGGACTGTGACCCATCACGGTCGAGAATGCCCCTCAGCGGACCCTGCGTCAGCACACTTGGGCGGGCGGAGGGCCCTCAGACTGGGAGCCCCGCCACAGGGAGGGCAAGAGGAGGGACCCGCGGTGGCTTGTTATTCAGTCCTAACCTCCGGCCCCGAGCCCGAGGAGCTGCCTCCCCCAGATTATCCAAACCCACCCACGTCTGAGACCCCTGAGGGGGCTGCCTCCCTCTGGGAGCCCAACTGTGGGACAGAAGCCAAGACCCAGTGAAGTCCTGAGAGAGACTTGAGAAAGCCCTTGGCTGGACCCCAAAATGAGCGTGACTTAGGGTCAGGGAAGCACTGGAGAGCATGCAGGCCCAGTTTTGTATTTTCAGCTCTTTCTGGCGACTTTAGCGCCCTGATCGGTCCTTCTGGAGACCCCACCAGGGGAGGGAGCCACTGTTAATGGTTCAGCTGCATTTGGAGCATATATGGAATTTTCTGGCGTGTCAGGGGCCATGGTAACCCGGAGGAGCCGCAGACCCGCTCCCTCACAATCAGGCTGAGAGGAAGCCGGCAGCAGAGGACTCCAGGCCCATCAAGTACGGAGAGTTCTGTTCATGCTACGGGTTTTACAGGACCAACCCCATGCTCTTCCCCTCCCAGCAAGGTTGGAAGATGACACCCCAAACCATTTCCTCCTCTTAAACTATGAAGAACCTCTCTGGGGTATTAATGAGGAAAAACAATACAATTAAAACACAAGTGCCAGGAGTCCCCCGGGGTGGTGTTTGAGAGCGCCCCCTACCCCAGGCGGGGGGAATGGCGGAACCGGGGTGCAGAGCAGTACCTCTGCAGTGCCGGTACAGGGCGTCCGGGCACCAACCCCACCGCGCCCCCCCCTCTGCGGAACCGCGGCGGAGCTGCACCTTTGCAGTGCTGGTGCAGGACGTCCAGCAGCAGCCCCCCAACCGCGCCCCCATGCCCCCCACTGTGCCCCCCCCCAGAACCGGGGCGGAGCCGCACCTTTGCAGTGCCGGTGCAGGACATCCAGAGCGGCGATGAGGAACTCGTGCGCATCCTGCTGCTCGTACCCCGCCAGGTGCCGCGCGTGAGTCCACACCAGGTGCAGCAACTTGTAGGGGATGTGGGGGGAACGGTGCCCCGAGTAGAACTGCTCACAGACGGAGAGGAGGAAAACTGTCAGGAGTAAGTACTACACTCTGAACACAAAGCACACACGATAAAAAAATCCGTAACCACCGCCTAGAACTTCTTGCGGTTACTCGGACAAAAGGATTTACTCCCTCCCCTTTTATTTTTTTTTTCCAAAATGTATTTTCATGTGGACTCCCTGGACTTTTTGAATCATTTTGTCCCTTCCCACTGTCGGTTTTCTACAGAGAAGCCAAAATGAGGAATGGGGAGTGCCCCATGCGGACACAAGGTGGGCGGCCGGCACCAGGCTGCGCTCAGAGGTACTGAAGAATCGGCAGACGAGGCAGAACCCGCCGGCTCCTCTGCTAGGCCCCTGAAGCACATGTGGGTGCACTCGGCAGCCAGGGGCAGGCGATGGCCCCGATCTGTAGTTGGGCAGCCTCTTCGGTCACTAGGTGTGGGGGATCCCGCCCAGGGACGCCTGAGCCCACGCCTGAGCTCTGTCCCGCTGTGAGTGCAGCCTAGGCCCCAAGCAGAACAGAACCTGATGTGCGGGGCGGAGGGCCACCAAGACAGGTGTTCTGGTGGAGCACACACAGACCTGGCAAGAGACGACAAGGGCCACTCTCCTTGAGAACAGGACGACAGACAATGAGGAGGATGGAACGACCACAGCATTTACAGACAAATGTCTCGCACCGGTTGCGCCCCCTCCAAAGGGCCCCTTCTCATCCTCCAAGTCGGCACCACGCCTCCAAGTGATGCCAATAGTCCCTAGCAATTCCCTTTGGAAAAAATGTTTCATAAGAAATGCATGTATTATTCCCTGTGCAAGGTTCCAGAAACCTGCCTTCCTTTATTATGTGAGCTTGATTTTTATAAAGGAAAAGTACACGCGGTCACAGAAATGGTACTCTCCCCACGCCAGCAGCACTCACCTCCTGAAACAGCGACGACATCTCGCAGACCAGACACGAGCTGGGGGTCTGCATCTCACACCTGTGCCTGTCGGAGAGGAAGAAGTCTCGCAGGAGCGGCGTGTGGGTGAGCGCCTGGACGATGCAGTTCATGAAGCAGGTGTTGCCAAGGTTGATCAGCCCCCGCAAACCTGGGCAGAATAAACTTGAGTCTTCTTACAGGACAGACCATCAGAGCCCCAGGGCAGGGACCATTTCCGTCCATCACCATGAGGCCCCCCCTAAGCCTACCCACCCCAGCTCCCCCCTCCCCCGGAGAACAGGTGCTCCAGAAGTTGGGGGGGGGGGGGAATGATGAACGACTTATACAAAGGCTTAAGGAGAACTGTGCTATGAAATCCACCTGTTTACATCGACTTTTAAACCCACAGAAGCCAGCCTTCCTGGCAGAACAAACCACCGCTATGGGCGCTGTTGCCCACCTACCTATGGTGCAGTTGGAGGTGATCTTTCGCCTTTTCGGGTTGTGTTTCAGCAGTTCAAGCTCCCGTTTGGTGGGCTCCCAAGTTGAAAACTTCTCCCCAACGCCTAAGCAGATGGAAGACAGTTCCCGTTGCCATGAACTCACTTTTCATCAAGTGTGTTTGTAAATAAAAGTGATGGTGATAGAATACTTATCAGCTTGTATTTCAAAGAGGGGCAGCCACAACACGAGGTCTTTGTTGAACCGTATTATACTGCAACGGGCTAAAAAGAATACTTAGGAGGAGTTTCTTTTAGAAAATGTGTGGTGAATAAGCGGTTTCCTGTGAGAAAGGCAACATCTCCAATTAACGCTACCATAACGCTAATGCCAAGACGGGGATTTTTTGCAAAGCCTTTAATCCCTGAGTAGCGAGACTGCACCAGCCCCAGGGGCAAATGCTACACTTGGCACTGAGATGAGGGGTCTCCCGTGAAAGAGTGAAAGCACAGGGAGAAAACGCACTCGCTGAAACACAGTTTGAAAATACATCGTGTTGAATAGCCGTACCCACAGAAGACTTAATCAATACCACAGACAATGGTGCAGATGCTAATTGTCACAATTCATCTAATAGCTACTTGTTCCATGTGACTTAAAATTTCTGCAAAATTCAATGAACTTTAGACATACTATCTCACTGACACACAGAGTTGTAGAATTATTTTAGAAGAGTTCTGTTTTATTCTGGGCCATGCATTTCTTAGCTCCTGTGGGTAAAATGTTCTTCCCAGAGAAATAATATATTCAGACTTAGTTGCAATGTTACTAAATTTTTGAGGGAGAAAAGAATAGGAAGTTGGTTAAAGAGACTGTTCTCCAGAAAAGATGTGTTACATACAAACAATTCCGATCACAGAGAGCACCTGTTTCTATTGTTCCATTCTCAAAAAAACAGGGAGTTTGAAAGCAGAGCTATTAAGGCCAAAAAGTGTAAAGCAGATACCGGGATTCCATGTTCTCTCTATAAACAGTGGAAGTTCTGCTCACTGAGAGATGCTCACTAGTCAAGTGGGGTAAACTATACGTCCTACTGTTGTAAAATCCTTTTACTGTTACAGCAACTGCCAAAAATGGAAAACTAAAGAAAAAATCAAGGAAACAAAAAAGAAAGAATAGGGAAAACAGCCACATATTGTTGTGTGTACCCCCGACTACGCATCCGATGAAGAACGCACGTGTGAGCACAGGGAACTGACAGCACCAGAGAACCCCACGCTGGGACCAGAAAACACATATTGGTCCCTGCCCCGAGGCTCCTCAAACCCTTATGATTTCCTAAGTGCTAAGAGCACTAGGAGCATCTTTCTTCTAATGAGGTGACTCCCAGTGGGCTCGTGGAGGCGGCCGGTTGCCAGAGAGACCACACCATGAGGAAAAGCTTGGCATTTTCAGCCCTCCTCCCCTGGCCCCCTGCAGAGGGCGCCTGCCCACCTGTCTGGCCAGTCACCTCACCTGCTTCTCCGGGACCCTCAACTGGCGCCTACAGGGGGAAGCGAGCAGCTGTGAGGGTTCTTCCCACCAAATCAAGACCCAACCTGCAAAAACCCAGAGGCTATCCCATCTCCCGACTCTGACCTTCTCCCTAGATATTGATCTTTCTCTTGATAAGCCCTGACCTTGACAGACATGAGGGAATGCACAAGTAGGAACCAAAACAGGCAACGTAAATCTAGGCAAAACCAAACCTTGCATTTTCCAAGCTTTCCGTTGCTCCTCTTTGGCAATGATCTCCATGTCTTTGTCATATATGTAGTCCTGACACAAAAAGCAGTAGATGCCTCCATACATAAGCTCTATGGCTGAAAAGAGAAAGAGGGAAAGAGAGATCAAATTGAATTAAAAACTTAAAGGTAACACTTAATAAGGTCACAAAGGAAACAGCTAAGTGTTTTAGACATTTTACTGTTTCCACCATTCCCCTACTCTCAAACCATAGAAACCTCTTTTTATAAAAGGATTTCACCTCCCACTTCAGACCTTTATCCTAAGCAGGTGAGGTATGTGTATTTTCCCTGGAAGCTCAGGACTTCCGAGGCCGAGGAATGTGAGAATGAGAGGCGTCACATCCATATTTTATAAAGGACCTCAAGGACCAGGACGCTCCATCTATTCTCTGAAACAGTGGTACTTAAAACAAGGAAGGGGCAGCCAGTTAAGCGGCTGCCTTGGGCTCAGGCCCCGCCCACCCCCCCACCCCCCGAGCTTGTGCTCATCTTCTCTCTCAAATAAAAAATTAAAAAAAAAAAGGAAAAACTTTCATAGAGTATGATCAGCTCATAAGGATTCGTAGCCACCTGACATGCATAACTGTGTTTTACTACATCTAGAATTCCTGATACGACTACAAAAAGGAATGCCTCAGCGGTCTGCCTACTCTTACTTTGACAGTGGTAAAATATCCTCTACCCAGACAATCTTCACTTCTTGACCCACAGAGCTGACTCCTGCCCACCTGTGAGTGGGTCTTATGCATTTTCTCAACTGCATCATCTATAAAAACTGGCTCTTAGTTACTTCCTAATAAAGTAAGATAAAGTCCTTTAATTTAAGCACCTGGAAGAAAGGTGCCTCAATTCAACAGTTAAAAAGAATCTTTTCTGGCTTGGATTCAGCAAGCAACAGAAGATGTCTGAGAGGCAATGCAGCACAAAGAGCACAGATTTAGAATAACTGGGATTAATCCCAGCTCTGTACTTACTAGTTACGCACCTCTGATAAATTACTCCACTTCCCCGAGCCTCAGCTTCCCCTTTGGTGTAGTGGTGACGGTAACAGCACTAAGAGCTCATAGGTTTGTATGGTGATTTTGTAACTTTACAGTACACCTAGCGCGCAGTCATGTCTTCATACGACACAGCTTGTATCAGAGTCCGTGTCTTCAGTTGCCAGGACACATCAGTAATATTGTGGGGGATCTTTAAAGTCCTCTAAAGCAGATGTAGTAGAGCCCAATTTAAGAGTCCCATACCTACCCCTTGCCTCTCACCCAAAACTGACAAAATTCCCACAAATTCTTTGAAAGTTGCCATCAAAGCTGCTGCAGAGCGCTTGGCTGCCCCTTGGCACTGTGCATTCCTTGAATGGGATAGTTCCTGGCATGGGATACCAAAGCCCGAGACAGACTACAATGAGGATGACAGAAATTTTCAGGAAAGCAGAGACATTCAATAAAAAATATGCCAAGCAAGTTACACAGCAGGCTCTGCGCTCAGTGGGGAGTCGGCTTGAGATCCTCTCTTTCCCTCTCCATCTGCCCCTTGCCCCTTGCCCCCGTCTCTCTAATAAAAAAAAAAATAAAAAAAAAAACAAAAGCCGTATATATATATATATATATATATATACCCATATATATATATACACATATATATATATACATATATATATGCCTAGCATACAGCCAACAGCACAACTACCCGCCTGAGGAAGGCATATAAATATTTCAATGTGTGTTCAAGTCCTCCTAAACAAGCTCTTCTTCAAGGCACCTTTCCACACCCAACAATTCACTCACCGTGTAAAACGAATGATGCCAGTTATGGTGCCAAGAGCACTCAGTGGGGGAACACCAACCTTCCCAACAAAAGGTGGCATGACCAGAAAACCACCAACAAAAGAATGAAGCTCAATCCTGACCTTCCCATCATATACAAAAATGAACTCAGAATGCATCAGCAACCTCAATAAAGCACTAGAAGTATACAACTATTAGAAGAAAATCTAGGGGGGTTAAATCTTCATGACCTCAGATTTGGCGATGGACTCAGATTTGACACCAAAAACATGAGCAACTAAAGAAAAAACTTGATAAATTGGGCTTCATCAAAACTAGACTTTGTGCCTCAAAGAACATTATTAAAGAAGTGAAAAGACAACCCACAGAATGGGAGACAGTATCTGCAAAGCATATATCTGGTAAGGGTTCATTATCCAGGAGAGAGATATATATCTCCAAGAGGGGGGTGTGTGTGTGAATATATATATATATATATATATATATATATATATATATATATATCCAAAATAAAAAAAAATATGTATCTCATAAAGTACAACAAAAAGACAACCCAACCCAATTAAAAACATGAACAGGTGACTTGAACAGACATATCTCCAAAGAAGATATATGAAGGACCAAGAAGCACATGAAAAAAAAAACATTTAACATCCCTGGTCATTGAGAAAATGCACATCAAAGCCACAATAAGACACCACTTCACACCCATCATAACGGCCAGAGTTACTAAAAAAAAGAAAGTAAATGTTGACCAGCATGTGGAGAAACTGGAACCCTCATACAAGGCTGGTGGGAACAGAAAACAGTGCAGCCACTGTGGGAAAGTCTGGTGGCCCCACAAAAAATCCAACACAGAGTTGCCATATGACCCTGCTGTTTCGCTCCTAGGAATAGATCTAAAATAAATGAAAACATTTGTCCACACAGAAACTCATACACAAGTGTTTAATGCAGAATGACTCGTAAGAGCCAAAAGGTGGAAACAACCCAAATGTCCACTAATGGACGAAAAGATTAACAAAATATGGAAGATCCACACAATGTGCGATCACTTAAACATACAAAGGAATGAATTACTGATGCACGCTACAGCATGGATGAACCCTGAAACATGCTAAGAGAAAGAAGCTAGACACAAAGGGTCATCTACTGTACCACTCCTTTTAAAGATTTTATTTTATTTATTTGAGAGAGTGAGAGAGTGAGCACAAGACAGGGAAGGTCAGAGGGAGGAGCAGACTCCCCGCTGAGCAGGGAGCCCGATGTGGGACTCGATCCCGGGATTCTGGGATCATGACCTGAGCTGAAGGCAGTCGCCTAACCAACTGAGCCACCCAGGCGCCCTGTACCATTCCTTTTATAAAATATTCAGAATAGGCGAATCCAGAGAGACAACAAGCAGATTAGCGATTTCAGGTGGTGGGGGAGGGGTTGGGGGAGGGAGAATTCATTCCTGGAGGTGGGGTTTTCTTCTGAGATGAAAAAGTTCTGAGGTAGAGAGATGGTGTTTGCACAATGTGGTGAGTAAATGCCACTCAATTGTACGCTTGAAACTGTTTAATTGTACGTTCTGTGAATTTCACCTCAATATAAAATATAAAAGCAACACCTACAATCAAGGTAGTTCCCTTGGAAAATCATTTCACAGTCGAGATGGGGGTACACTGGGAGTTCGCAAAGCCACAGCTGACACAGGCACCATGCCTGCCCGCACCACGCATGGTCCTTTCCCCTTCGGTCACAGGGTGACCTAGAGAACGGAAGGAGACCACCACCAGGTGCTAGGTGAGAGCTGATATCCCGCCCCCACCATCACGTGCTCTTTGAGGAGCAATGAAAGTAACTCTTCTAAGACACATGGAACGAGGCTAAAGGCATTACTTTTACACCTTTGTGGCTCATGGTGGCAAAATCTAAGTACTTTGAGACTTAGTGTAAGAAGCCAGAAGGTATGAAATCCAACAGCTCCCCGTTTGTCACCTACACTCCCGCAACAGGTCCCACAGTCAACTGGAAGTACGCCAGCCCATCGGAGGGAACACCCCGAATGAGAGTAAGCTCTCTCTCCTCAAGGGTGTATTTATTCATCACGTTGCATTAAGGCAACTTTATAGGGCAGGATGGACCAAGAAGTAGAACCTTCCTCCATCAGACTCTCCTTGTCCTGTGCCTTCCTCATCTGTCCCTCCACAAGACCTTCGACAATGACCTTATTGCTACTAATACTCTATCTTTAAGTGCATCATCCACAATATTCAGACAAGACTCAGTTCAGGCCTCTTATACTACTCCAACTAAAAACCAGATGCGCTGAGAATTTTCCCAATACTCTACTTCCAGTCCCAACATTATACTACTGAATATCCCCTGGGAGGTGGAGCAACTTGACCAAAGTTGCCTTAATGCAACGTGATGAAAACTGAGGTTCCTCAGTCCCCACACCACTGCTCAATTACTTTGCCCTTGGACATCCTGCAAAATGCTCCGTGTAAAAACCTCAATGTCGACAGCCTAGAAGCTGCTCTGGAGATGGCAGGTGGGAGCGGTAGTGAGATGCACAGGGTGCAGGGTGGGCAGGTGCTCTCAACAAGTCGGGAAAGACGGAGACCAAAGGGCGAGGTGGGAGTCAGGCTGCCCTGGGTCACTCTCACACTTCAGCTTCCCCCTCCTGTGCCCGCCGCCCTCCTCCCCACCCGGACACAGAAATCTAATTTCTAGCTTGGTTAAACACATATGCAAACAATACCCATATTGTTTAAATAAATTAAGGGACTCTAACACAGCAAAGAACTGATCTTTCTCCCATTTCAAGGTTTTGTTTCTGAAAGCAAACTTTCTAAAACTTATGCTTTCTAGCAAAAGCCCACACAGAGTTTCAGTCAGGTGGACGAAATGAATAAATTTCTGAAGTGATTTTTATAGATGACTCTGGATAATAGTAAGATTCTTCAGAGAGCTTTTTTAAGTGCAAATAGATTTCCAATTTTCCATAACCCTTTAAGCCCATGAAGTCACAGCCCAGGAAAAAGAGCAGAGAGGCCTACGTGGGTCTGGTCTGAGATACAGACATGGCAGGAATACTCTTCATTTATATTGTGAAAGCACGTATCTACATTAAGTAAATGGTACATAATTTTGTCACACCCATACTGTCCCGAGGAGTGTCTTTTCCGTCTGGTTAGTCAATGTAAGAGATCACGGATGACCTCATTCCTCCGTGGGACATAATTCATGAGAGCACCACAGGCACCATAAGCTCTCTTTCCAAAAAGGCCAATCAGCTCATCATCACAATTTGAGTCCCCTTGTTCCAAGCAGGTTTTTTACGAGCGCTTGCTGTGAGTTCTTAGTTACGAGTGTGGCAGTCCAAGAGGGATGACTCAGTTAGTACATTCCATTTCTACTATTTCTACTATCGAAAAAGGCCTAAAAAGATCTTTAACTGGAATCACCGAGCCCCCATGAAGTTTCTTTGGCCTGGACCTTTCGAAAGTGATTTTCTTAAGGACAGCCTAAAAACCTCACCATCACTGAAAACATTATTCTGAAGGAGAGAAACATTTAAGGAGCATAGTTAGAAATAAAGCCAAGGACAAAACTTGTGCTTTGTGTAACTTCCAGAATGTGTGACAGTTGGAACTTGTAAGTATAAGAAATATAAATTTATCTTGACGACACAGTGCTGTTAGCCTTTTCATGACTCTGTGTTATCGAGAACAGTGAAAATCCATTATAGAAAGTGACAGAAACCACCCAGCTGGGCTGTCAGCCATGCTGACATCAATAACCCAACACTGCATCTAAGATCTTTCTTTGCGAATTCTTGCCTCATCGAATACCTAACCATGCTTTTCAGAGGGAAAGAAGGCTCTGAGGCTGCATTAAAGAAAGAGCTGAACAGTGAGCCTTTGTAATTGATCATTTCAAGTTACATAAAATACTAACTTCAACTCCAATGCCTAAAGGCAGGCTAGGTGCATAATCCCTTTGAGTCCTGGGTATTTCACCGCCCCTGGACTTCCACAAGGATTTCGGACTGGCCCCTGGGATGAGGGGTGCTGGGAACCACAGGTCAGGGAACAGGGGGCTGCTGTGCCAGGGAGATGCATTGGAGGGCGCCTTACCCAGGTTGTGCCGCTTGGACTTGGCATGTTCGTGGATATGTTTCTTTGTGAAGCAGCCGAAGAAGACACAGTGCAGGCAGGAGTGAAGCCTGTTCAGGTGGACTCCACAAACGTGACAGACGCACGACTTCGCCTGAAATTGAGAGCAGAGAATTAGAAACCAGGCGTTCTAGGGCAGAAAGTGGTCAAGCAAAGTGATCCACAACCAACAAGGCAGTGGGAGGAAAGGACATCACAGGGTATCACCAGTCTCACTCAACAAGAGAGCTCTTTGTTAATCCTTTCAACTGCTCCAAAAGGTACTCTTGGCTCATTTAGCTCAAAACTAGCTCCATGTAAGAAAGCTCAAGCCCACAATCTCAACTACCAAAACCCATAAGCGGCTCAGATGTTTACCACATGAAGCCTTAGGAGCCATCAGTCTCCTCCCCAGTCCCGACGGGGTGCTGCCCACCCTCTAGTCTCCTTCCCCATTTCACACCAGCGACTCTCAGCCTAGCCACCCTTCCCGTGGACATCACTGTACGTTTGCGATCCCAGGTCTCAAGACCACAGCCAATTTACAAGCCATCGTCAACCAGCAGAGAGGGACATGAGTCAAAGTGATACAGAAGAACAAGAAAAAGAAAGTTTGTTGCCAAGAGTTAGACCACAGAAACCTAAAATTTTAATCTCAGCCATTGCCAGCAGTGATAATTCTTACACACCCAAACCACCCAAGACCACCACTGTTTTCTAGCCCAGTATGACCTCTGCACCGCAGTAGTAACTATAAACTCCCTGCAGATCATCAAATTGAATTTCCAGCCTCTGAGAGGACACCATGGTGTCGGATTTTCTTCTGCGGTGATGGGTGGGCAGGAAGCAGGGGGATGAAGGCCAGGAGGAAATAAACAGGGTACGGGGAAGGGAAGGTTAAGACAGAAAGCGCTGCCAACACAAACATTACACACTCCCCGCTGCGTGCGCTCTAGACGCTGGTGCCGCGGGCCTTCAGATGATGTACCTCATTCAATGCTCACAACCACCCGCTGGGGAAGGTTTGCGCTCTTCTGACATCTGAAGAGTTACTTAAGTGTATATATGCTTGTGACCTGTGTGTGCGTGACACAGTTAGAATGGAGACTAGGACGTGCCTAACCCCAGGAGGCCCCTCAGCCTGGAAGCAGCCCCTCCTAAGCTTCGCTCTGCACACACAAGATCAAATCAAGTGCCAAGCCCAGGGGTGACAGGGCATTCACCTAGAGCGGGGGGCATGGAGGAAGGAGAGGCTCTGGGGACCGGGCTCAAACCATATTTACATAAAACACAAATCAGTTTTCACCTAGATAGTAACTGCCTAAAGGGAAGCCGTGTAGGGACACTGATAACTCTGTCAGCCTCCAAGAGGAGGGAGAACTGGTGCAGAGGAGTTGGCCAGGGAGGGTGCAGGGGCATATGCTCCTCAAAGACAAGAGAGCCCTGCAAGCCACAGGCCGTAAGACAAAACAGACAAGCTCCTCTCTCTGGCCCACCCCCACCTCGTGCACTCTCATGCTCTCTCTCTCTCTCAAATAAATAAATCTTTAAAACAAAAACAAAAATAAATGTCACAGTAGTATAAATAGTTGTATCATCTATTGATTCTTCTAGCGATAAATCAAAGAAATTAAGTAACCATAATTGCTTTTAGGAATACAGAGGACGTGTCTAAATTACGTATACAGTTCTATTTGATGTAAGCCAATGATACTTTCAGGTTATCACGGAAAATTTCCCTTTGGCTATAAATATTGTGAGCAACAGATTCCTGAAGATTCGTAGTTACAACCACAAGCTAGACTCCATTTACTGTTCACTACAATTACAGATACAAAGAATGGGAAAGATTAAGAGGTGTCCTTTATTTTTATCACTCAGGATATTTTTTAATTTTTTTAAGATTTTATTTATTTACACTCGAGAGAGAAAGAGAGTGTGCGCACAAGCAGGCAGAGGGAGAGGGAGAAGCAGGTTCCCTACTGAGCAAGGACCCTGGGATCATGACCTGAGCCAAAGGCGGTCGCTTAACCAACTGAGCCACCCAGGCGCCCCAGTCAGGATATTTTAGAGGCATTATAATGATTTCTTTTAAAAAATTCCTCTATGAACTTTAAAACAGTAAATCCAATTCTATTTATATAACAAAAAAATTCAAGAGTAGCATTACCTTGAAAATATAAGCTTATCTGGATCATTACATAACTAATTGTCCCTTAAAACACACAAAAACTTTTTTAAAAAGATTTATTTACTTTAGAAAGAGAGGCTTTAGAGAGAGAGACTTGGGGCTCTAGAGAGAGAGAGATTGAGACTTGGGGCTCAATCTCATGACCTGAGCTGAAATCAAGAGGTGACACCCAACCAATGAGCTAGCCAGGCACCCCAAAACACACAAAAGGTTTTTTAAAAAGATAAAAATTAAGCCCTGAACTTCAAATGTAAAGCTCTATCACCTGTTCTTTTGCAGAATTTCATGAAACAGGAATCTGCCTGAGGAAAAAGATCCTCAAGAATCTTAGCTGCACAAAAAAACTATAGCTAAACACACAGAAACTGATCATGTCCTGATGCTACCAGGTCAGGGAAAGAAAGCCTCAAATATAAATAAATGCACACACATATCCAGGATTCTAAATCCTTTTCATTTAAATAAAGCCCATGCTTGAGGCGCCTGGGTGGCTCAGTCGGTTAAGTGTCTGACTCTAGATTTCAGCTCAGGTCATGATCTCAGGGTTGTGAGATCAAGCCCCATGTTGAGCTCTGCACTTGGGTGTGGAATCTGCTTGGGATTCTCTCTCTCCCTCTCCCCATGCACGCATGCACACTCTCTCAAATAAATAAATAAATAAAATCGTTTTAAAAATTAAAATAAATAAGGGTGTCTGGGTGGCTCAGATGGTTAAGCATCTGCCTTCAGCTCAGGTCATGATCCCAGTGTCCTGGGATCAAGCCCCGCATCAGGCTCCCTGCTCAGCAGGGAGCCTGCTTCTCCCTCTCCCTCTACTCTTCCCCCTGCTTGTGCTCTCTCGCTCTGTCAAATAAGTAAATAAAATCTTTAAAAATAAACAAACAAAGCCCATGCTCTATATTCATTTTAAAGCACATATCAAATAAATAAAAAAAATCTTAAAAAAAATTCATCAAGGAGTATGCTTTAACAGGAGGGATAAAAAGCCATAATACAAAATAATAAACACACTGATAAAAGATGTGGTTATACTGAGAGACAAACCAAACGCTATGGAATTTAAAAGGAGCAACAACCACACCTGACTGAGGACAACTGGAGAAATCAGAAAAGTCTGTATACAATTTCTGTTCAAATTCTATGGAATTCTATAGAATAAATGTTTCTAACAAGGGGTATGACTTCAGTTCTTATGGAGAAAAGAAAATTAACTCAAAGTGGGAAGACCTGCTCTTGGGAAGAACAAGAAGGAAAGCATGTAAGTGAGGACCTAACTTCCTCGTCTGGGCAACCTCACTGAAGTGTGTTAACACCTAGACGCTACCTGGAGGCGGTGTAGCGCCCACCACTGAAGGCGTTACTGGGTGGATGGATCCAACAGCTGGGAGACCAGTTCCCTAACAGTAACGAAGCAGCCAGCGATGGGCAAGAGTACACTAAGCACAGAAGCAGAAATCTGTCTCTGATGGTGTCTTTTGTAATTTCTATCAGCACTATCCAACAGAAGGTTCTATGATGCTACAAGTGTTTTGGGTCTGCACTGTCCGTTACAGCAGTCATTACCGAGAAGTGACTCTGGCAGCCAAGAAACTGGGTTTTTTATTCTATTTCGTAGTAATTACAAACAGCACATGTGGCTAGTGACTGGAGTGCTGGACAGCACAGTTCTAGATCCTAAATGGAGCAACGGCTGACTTACATGAGTTCTGTCTCCTGAGTGCATTTACCCCCGAAAGCTGAAGCACAGAAACTAGAGCAGCTCGAAATAACCCTGGACGCCCCAAGAAGCAGTACACGTAATAAAGACATTTGTAGGTTTGACACCAAATCTCAGGATGTTAAAACAAAGGCAAGTGATTACTACTGCCAAGTACTAGTGAAAAGAATTAGATAGATGTCCATTACTTATCAAAGCCAGCTGCTGACTTCCAGTTAATTCTTTAAGGATCTTGCATCCAGTTGTATGCAATCCCGTGACCCCCTCAGCATCTGTTACAGGGCACAGGAACGGGTCCAATTCCAGTTTCCACCACTCTCGCTGTGGGATCAAACAAGTTACACGGTTCTCTCTGCCTCGGTTTCCTGACTTTTAAATGTGGACACGTTTCTACCTCATATGGCTACTACGAGGATTAAATGGCTGTTTTTTAATGTACTGAGGCCAGTGCCTGTACGTATCAGGATTTATAGTGGGCTGACAGTCGCTTCCCAAAAGATGTGTCCCTGTCTTAATCTCCAGAACCTGAGACTGTTACCTTAGGTGGAAAATTTTGCATTATGTAGTTAAGTTCAGGGTGTAGAGATGAGATTACACTTGATTATCTGGGTGGGCCCTAAATGCCATCCTGAGTGTCCCTGGGAGGGTCACAAAGACCTTGGACAAGGGAATGAAGGCCAGGTGAAGGAGGCAGAAACTGGAGGGTGGGGGCCTAGAGCGGGAACAGGCCAGAACCGTTCCTCCCTTTGAGCCTCTGGAGGGCCGTGGTCCTGCCAACACCAGACTGTGGGGTTTTGGCCTCCAGAACTTGTTCTAAACCCCCCAGTGTGTGGTCACCTGTGAAAGCAGCCGCAGGAAAGAATACATAGTTCACATCAGCTGTTACTATCCTAACCCCCTCCCACTGACATGGGAAAGGGTAGGACACCCTTGCACCACCCACTACTGGTCTGAGTGGGCCGGGGAGAGGCACAGGGGTGGCTGCTTTCTGGAGTGGCTGGTCGCGGCAGGGACGGCAAGGTTCCTCCCTCAGCTCATCCCGCTGGGGAGGCAACACTGGCAACCTTCCTGGATGGGCAGAGGCAGCGGAATTCTGGAGGCTGGCGGGGGTTCCAGGAAACTCAACCCAGAGTCTACTGCTCCTGGAGCCCTTGTAATGATTTCTGTATTAAATCCCTTTCTCCCATAAATTAATTCAAGTAGATTC